TGGTTAATAAACAATGTCCTTTTCGTATACCGTGGAGCCCCGTTAACATGAACGACACTTCGTATATATTAACGGAGATCGTTTTTAATTTGAAGTTCTAGTAGCCCCAAGACCATCAGAAAAGGAATTTTCTGGTAGGCTTATTTGTTGCTTTGTTTTGATTTTGCGTTCCGTTTCGCATCGTTTCATTTTGCTTTTCTCCATTCCTTCTGCTAAACGTCGTTTGAGCACTTTTTTAATTTGCACGACGTCAGATTATGGGTGGTCCTCGGTTTAGTTTTTTGAAATTGTGAACTTTTTGTGTATTATTAAGTACAACGGTTGGCGAGAAACACTTCTTTCAAAAATTAAAAATTTAAAAAATACTACATTGATGGCGTCTCAAAATCGTCGGTGAAGGTGGCGTGTAAAAAAGTGCCGGCGGTAGCAACGGCACGGCGTGGCGGCACACAGGACTAGTTCGAACACCTTGCTCCTTTATTTGCGATAATCAACAAATCTATCGTTTAGGACCAACAATCGATTAAAATTAGCCAATTACAGTTGAAACACGATACAAAATCCGAGTCTCATTTTTAACCAGTGGAGTGTCTGTCTGTCCGAGATTGTTGAGATTGTCGCGAATTTAGTGTTTCGATTTAAATGTCATGAATGCCAGGCATGGATTCAAATATTAAAGAGCAAAAACCAACCACCACACACTGGAAAGCACGCAGTCACACCACGAAGCTTCGCTACTCACCGACAGATGTCACTCACAATATTATTGGGAGGCCATTGGGATGTGTTGTAAAGGGGGCCATGATGGGGTTAAATTGGGCTGAAAGAAAATTGCTCAACGATCGAAAGCGCAAGAAAATCACCCGCTATCATTGCTGGAAAATTTCCTGGTGGTCAAAAGCGATAGTCGTATACCAAGCTAGACCAACCCAAAACCAAATCCAAGCTATAGTGAAAGATCGTTATACCAAAGTAAAAGAAGGTGATAAACCTGCATGAGACTTGAGACGTGAGACTTGAGCAATAGTGATGGAGAAGGCAACGTACTACAATATCCAGGACCCCGTAGTTTACCACTAGAATTTATCTATGGCGTGGTCAGACCTCGTAGTGTCCGCCGTTTTGACATACGGTGTGGTCAACCACGAACGCAATCAGCCCCGAAACCCGTAGTGTCCGTTTGAAGAGTATACGGTGTGGGCAGACCCCGTAGTGTCCGTCGTTTCCGACCTACGGTGTGGTCAAACCTATAGTCGCTATATTAATAGTCTGGCGGATAGAATTTCGATCTTTAAAAAAACGGAACCAATTCAATATATTGTATACCAACAATCGAAAAGGTACTATCAACTTTTGAACAGAAAACGTTGATTATTTATTGATGCGGATAGGGGAAACTTTCACCAACCCAAAGATGGTGTTAGTTTGCGTAGGCGAGCTTTGAGTCACGAGCAAAGGGTTTCCGAAGTTTTGATCGCAATAGCTGATGTGCTCTTTTCTGTTGTTGGTCGTGATTTGCTCGATTGGTTCCGCTATTTGACAGCTCAATTGGCTCCCGAGATTCTAGCCGCCATACTATGAATATAGCGACTATAGTCAAGCCCCGCTGCGAGTACTTACTAGTCCGTCGCCAATTTGGATCTGCCTTGAGCGTCGCGGATTCGCTATACAGATCCGAAGTTAAAGTCAGCTGAAGATAAAACATAAGAAGAAAATAAAACATGATACCTGCTGGAAGTGCCTAAGATGCGTCGGCCACATCTAAACATGTTGTTAGAGTCCTCGGGAAAATGGTCCGTGCGTTTTATTTATATCAAACTTATCACGAGGGGTGCGACACATTCAAAAATATTGTGGAAAAATCTCAAGCAAGCGCATCTATCTACAAAAAATTTGTTTTCATCTCTTGAATCTGAATCCATCTGCTCACATTGCTCTCCACCTTTCTGCAGGATCTTCAAAATCGTCATCAATCTTCCCTCTATCTATTAAGTTTACGTGCATCTCACAACAGCAAAGCAACAATTTTCCTGCATCTTAAATCGCAATAGTGCCACATCCAGAAACGTTCAAGATTCCATAAGAGAAGTGACCAAAACTAGACTTGAAGGAAAAGCCGTTTTGCGATAACTTAAATTTTATGAGCTATGGGAAATGGCTCTAATGTTGGCCTATGGATCTAATATTGGGTCCATCGCTTAAAATCTGCTATTTATCAATTTTATGCATACGTGTACATGTATAACGTGTCATGGATATTTTTGGTCGCTATTGAAAATTTAGTCGATTCCTAAATTTATGTATGGGCTCAAATTAGGGGCATTTAGGCCTGCATTACATCCATTTCCCCTATAATAGGAAAATATTTATTTTCGAACAAATTCATAAGTTTACTTTTTATAAATGAAAATCAACATAATTATGACCGATATCACGTGAGTTTGAATGTTAACTACTCATTTCTGAACTGTTAAATGTGAAAAATTTAATTACTTAAAACTTCTTAACGACTGTCATTTCGGTCAGATTAGTCATATACATGTTATGATTTTTTTGAAAAAAATATATTAATTATTTTAATACGCCCTTTTCAAAACCTACTCTTGATAAAATTGTTACCAAGGGTAGCGGCGGACATGTGAGTAATGTTTCATTAAAATCAGAAGGGGTCCAGACAAAACTGATTACTCTTTAGCGTTTTGGGCTGGAAACGCTCTATATGGACTAGATAGAAAGTTGTCGTCGTCAGCAAAGTTGTTCAGATAAACAAGACCTATATTATATTAAAAAATTCATCTTAAAATTTACTCACCAGGTGGCGCTAGTTTAACTTTTTTTTTATTGTTTGCCCTAACTTAACATCTTGACTAGATAGAAGGTTCTCGTATTGGGTACGGGTTAGGCAAAGAGTGTGCGTTGGACTTGCACTGTCGCATTAATGGCCTTTCGCTCATTTTCAACTTCTATTCAATTTTCATACTGCCGTACTCTAACGGAACTACCTGCATACCCTCTTCTATGACAATTCTCTAGCAAATAAAATGTCACACTAAAGCTTCATGTTAGATAGCATTTCCAACCAACTCTGAAAATCGCAAACTTCACGTATGAAGTAACATAAAAACACCTTGAATGAATTGGGTAAAGTTGTTCACATGGACAAGACCTATCCTAAGGTAAAAAGTTTAGTTCGGAATTCACTCACTAGATCTTGTCCATCTGATCAACGTTACCGAAGACGGAAACAATCTATCTTGTACATATGTAAAGATAGGGCAAGCAATTCAAAATTAATGTCACACTCGCGCTACCTAGTGAGTGAATTAAGAAGTAAACTCATTTTCTTGAAAAACTTGTATGTTTGAATATCTTTGCAGAAAGATCCACCCTTCCCAAAAAGTATTATAATTTAAACAGATATTTCGGAAATTTGCATTTTCAAATTGACCTCAGGGTACAGAAACGTTTAATGAAATTTTTCCAATAAATATGGTTTCATGTTTTTGGAGATAAATTCATTTAATGTTTCAGAGCTTTAGAGGACGCACCTAGTCACGAAAGAATTAACATAATCCTTCTACAAATAAAACAGTAACAGCTTTTCAAAGTGGCCTGGAGTCAAATGGACCCCAAGGTACAGACGAAGGGTTAAAAATCATTTATTTGAGCGCAGCCATTAATCCATTAAATATTGTGGACTTACGTTAAAAATATTCGATGATGGAAACATATGTTCACTCGAAATCGAAAAGGAATAGGTAGCATGTAAACAAACCGATTATTCAATATGTCACCCTGAATTGAATGACCACTGCTAAGATCTGTGTGAACATTTTGCGGTGTGATGGCTGTGAGTCAAATGAGGGATAACATGCACAATACCAAATCAAATCAAATTTGTAGATAGTTTGGTGATAGATATGGTAACATGTATTCATGAGAACCGTGCCATTGGAGCAAAGGCTTCGTTTAAAAAATAAATAAAGACATATAACAAATCTACGGAATAATAAAACATGGCATCAACATGTTTTACTACACCGTAATACAACAAGATGATAACAACGCTCAGCAATTGACCTTCATATGACACTATTTCCCCTTTCGGTTTCCGACGAGGACGCGCAAGCGACAGCATCCTTGTAATTTTATTGTAGCCATAAATTTTCCTCTGTTTTCTTCATATCAATCCTTGCCAGTAGAACAATGTAACTGATCCATCTTTTCATTTCCTTGACTTTTATGGTTGCCTTTTCCGGTGTTGTTAACATGGTTATTTTCAAACTTCTGGGATCATGTAACGAAAAATGGTTAATGTTTAGCAAAGGCCGGATAGGTTGCTCTGCGGAAATAGAACCAAAGTGAGCATCTGGTTATTTCTGCAGTAAAATATTCGATGTCGAACATAAAATATGTATCTGTTAAACTATTGTAATGCAAGTTTCTTTTGATTCAAGGAAGTCATACACCGAAATAGATTGCATTGCCTTTTCATTAAAGGCAGATAGCCATTAAATTGACGACGATATATTTAAAATGCATTACAATACTCACTTAGTACTACAGAGATTTTTAGTTTATCTCCTTCTTCTTTATGTTTGCTTTTGCCTCACCGCAACTCAAGGATCTGAAAAGTTCTTTCACAATTATTAATTGATAGGTTTCTAAGCCAACCAATGCATGCATTTGTTTATTTTGTGGCATACTATTTACAGTTCTATGCCTAGAAGGTTATACCAATAGTTAATCTCAGATGATATAGACCAGCAAACTGTGGAGCTTTTCAGTGGAGAACAGTTAAAGCCTATCCATATAGACCACCGCCATCAACCGATGTTCAAATGTGAATCTACATTGATGATTCCCATGCATCTAAAAAAGTATTTTGTAATTTTAAGCAATTCTTGTTCATTGATGAGGTTTAATTCATTATAATAGTTATCGAAACTTTAAATTTATATTAAAAACCCACACTAATCAGGCATTCCTTCTTTTTCCAGCTTTTTGGCCCCCACATAGATTTAAATTACGGTGAGTAACAATTTCCTTTTTACTTGTCCTCTCGAATCCCCTACCCTTCTTGGTGTGTCAGGCACAACACCAGTCCAGTCGAAATGAAAAATGACCACCCAGAAATGTTCACACCATAACTGTTATTTCTTTCCATACCATCAAACACCACATACTAATACACATAGAAGTACCCTCCATCCGTTCCGGCCCACATTCGCCACCGGAAACAAGCATTACGATAGTAAATTTATGAAGATTAAAACGTGCAGCAGCGTGAAATTGCTTTGCTCTCGCAGCAGGATAGCAACCAGGGCTAAGTGCCTCAGAAATGCATGCAGTTTGACTATATTGCATCCTTTCTGGTGTTGCAACATGAACCAACAACTCAGCATTACCCACGTCACAACTGTGGGAAACTGCTAACGAGCAACTACTGCTGCTACAAGTGGCAATCAGTTGAGTTTTTAACAATTTCATCGCCACCGCAGCTTGCAGCGATACAAAACGTAATTTTCCCACCCTTATTGGATCCATAATTGCGGCGAGCGGGTGTCAATTTCCGGATCGTTTATTTTTTCAGCTTCGTCTCTGGGCTACAGACCGTTAAATTTCGGCTGCTGGAACCTTTCCGAACGCGATAATCACTGAATTAAATTCTGCGATACTGGGAAGTTCGTCCTGCCCCCGAAATCTGGTTGATTGAATTCGGCGACCGAGTTGGTTCGGTTGCCATTGCACTGTGGTGCGAAACGGCCATTTAGCGGGAACAAATTATTCGCCTCGTTTCTGTTCATGTTAGGGTGTTCGTGTCTTCGCAGAAGTTGTGTATAATTGAGGGGTCCTTCATTTTATGAAAATATTGAGTAGGGTGGTTCTTGTTTAAATTGAGATCAGTTGGAGGCGAACCAGCCCCAGGCTGAAAGCCTCCCTAATAAAGATAAATCAACCTATCAATTGAGATCAAGAATCAAACCATTTTGTTTTTAGCTATAAGTTATTGCATTTTTTGAGCAAAGTTGTAGAAACAATTATTTCAAGAAACTTTGCTCAAGCCACCATCTATAAAGTTCATTATTTGACCATGCTAGAGCTAATTTCCTGCATTTAGTTATGGTGTCCCTAAAATATACAACTCTTTCTTCTGTCTTTTTTTATTTTCAATGTTTCAAAAAAGTGGTCTTGAAAAGTGTTGTAAAGGAAAGTTACGACGCACATTTTTGCTGAAGAAAGTATGTTGGAATAACTTAGCATTCAAATGTGATGGGTGTTTTTAACCCTGAAAGACCACACATAACGCAACATACAAAGTGAAAACTATGAGAATAAATTTGTTTAAAATGGAGCTATTCTGTTATGATAAATTTAGAACTGATTTTAGATGTGCGAAATAAGGCCCAAGCACAATGATAGCGGAAGCGGAAAAGCCAGATCTGAGCCTACTTGTCGGATTGAAAACAATGTAAAAACTGACTCGAAAAAATGCAACAGACAAAAATGATCCATTTGAATTCGGATATTTTTGAAACCCTCATGGAATAAATAGACAATATAAGCTATGTTTTTGCAAAGATGGTTAATTCAACCTCCTCTCCTAGGCTAAATGTCCGAACCATGGACTTGATGCTACCCATCAAATCCTGTGCATCACTTGTGCCATCTTTCTTACACACTTTCATCCACTCTTTCTTCAAACCCTTGTCGTTTTTCTAGACCTTTCTTGTTTTCCGGAGCTTGCCTTTCATAATCGCCCAGAATTTTTCTATTGGGCGAAGTTCTGGCGAGTTTGGCGGATGTGCCTCCTTCAACACAACAAAAAACATCGTTGGCTGCTCACCACTCCATCACCGGTTTCACATAAAGTCACGAATCCAGATCCAACTAAAACACCGGATGAAGGACAGCAGGCGCTTCTGGAAGCATTCTTCTTTATATATTTGGCCGTTGATGGTGCTGGTCATTATGTACGGCTTGCTCAATTTGATACACCCACAGATCGCCTGTCACACTAAGTATTTCTAGGAAAACTTGTCAACCTTCTGCTTCCGGATCTTCTTCGAAAAATGCAGGTGGGATTTGCCGTCGAAAAACTCCAGGCCGGGGATCTGCTTGGTGTCCACTTTAATGTACGTCTCGTCGTCCATTACGATGCATTTCGGATGTACCAATCACTAGTGGTACAGCTTCATGGCGCGGGATTTCGCCATCGTATTCTGTTTATCGGTTCGGTTAGGCGCCTACCTTACCTCGAAGACATGAAGTCTGGCCCGTTTCATTGTCTGCTGGTGTTTTCAAATGATAACAAAATCTTTCTCAAAGAGCGATTCGGGCTTAGGAAAGGCCACTCTACCATCCACCAACTCGCACGGGTTACTAACATGATCAAGCGGAATAAGTCCGTTTCCAATACATCTGCCATGGCGTTGTTGAACGTCGAGAAGGCGTTTGACAATGTCTTTCATGATGGCCTAGTGTACAAGCTGCATCAATACAACTTCCCGAGTCGAAAAATTCCTAGACAGGACTGGGAATCGAATCCAGCCACCATAGTCTAAGGGAGGCCCCAAAACAAAATATGTAACTGCGCTGAAGTTTTCAGAACTGCCATGAAGTTCACTAAAATTTTTTTTGCAGCTTTCCTGTACTTAAAGGAACTGTACTCAAGCTCCTTGGTATTAACTGAAGTGAATTTCATTTAAATTTTTGGGACTTTCCTGAAGCTATCGGATTATCTTAAGGCCGACACTGGTCGATCTCGGGTAAGCATGTGACTTAAGCGTCACTCGGTTAAGGAGACCGCATGCCAAGTTGAGTTTGCCCGGATCAGACTGCCTCAGGGCGAGTCCAAGTGTAATGTTTCTTAAAGAAGAGATCGAGCCAATCACCCGAAAATTGATCGGATACTAACCCCTATTGCCAAACAGCCTAATCTCTCACAACATCAAAATATTTCCGCAAAACTAAACTAAACTAAACGACGTGACACGTCAAGTTCTCCTCATCGATCGTTCCACTTGTTTCCGCCAGAGGCGCAGCTGCAGCAAAAGAGGTACGCATCATAGAAGTCAATATCCCGACCACGCGGAAGACAACAACAGAATTACACGGACCCGAAACAACGTGAAGACCTGGGCGTCACAATATCAGCTTCAATCGACCAAATCGGCGCAACGAAGAGACTGCTGGCTTTCTTCTTCTGTTAAGCTGGGTTTAGACAAGGCAAGTCAATTGATCAAGTCAGTTGAATTCAACTGACTTGAACGTGAATTGAACCATGCCATTCAACTGACTTGATCAACTCACTCGAATTGAAAAAAAGTTGAACCAGGCTCAACTTTTCAAGCCAATTGAATTCAACTGAGTTGATCATTTGACTTGCCTAGTCTAAAGCCAGCTTTAGGTCGAACAGCTTCGCAGCCTCAGTCGGCATGCACAAACAAATGTGCAATCGCTTGTCTTTCTTTCTGCCGTCACTCCATTGGTTTTTCTTTCCAGCTTCGGTGAAACGGATGAGAGAAAGAGCACTCGACTTTGATAGTTTCGTCTTTCATGAAACGTATCAATAGAGATTTCATGACGTATTGACGGAAAATGAAAATATATTTCAAGCATTTCTCACGTGAAAACACTTGAAGATTACACGTAATATGTTTAATTTATCCTCCGTCCACATATTTATCTAAAAACAATTAGCGAAAACAGGACATAACGCATTTATAACAAATTGAAAGTGGTGATAGAGTGTTCGTGAAAGGGATTGAAAGCTATAATGAGGTTTCGTTCAACTAGAAAATCGACGTTACTTAGATTGAAAACAATGAGCAAAGCAACGACGAGAAGATCCACAGTCAACTTTTCCTTCTAAGCGTGCTTCTTTTTCATTTCCGTTTCTTGCTGAAAGTCTAACTAGGCATTATAGAAATGAAGCGTTGAACACGTTGCATGAGAGAAACAAAACTCGAGTTCATTTTGGATCTTCGAAAATGTAGATCCCTGGTGAAGACACTTTCTTCCCCTCATTTTAACCACCAATAGGACTGATCAACATTAACATTATATTTAAAACGAATCAAACATTTATTGCAGTAACGGAAACGGTAAGTTTTGGTTTATTAAAACTGAAGCATGCTTTTGCGAATTGAACAACGAACATTCTTGAATTTATATGTGCATTTTGATCGTATATTGCAACAATCAACTAGATAAGGGCTGTACCCACATTAATCCGGACACCTTCAAATCACTGTAACTTTTGAAATATTGCACGTGGGAGAGCAAAATTTCGCTGAGGTACAACTGGGAGTCATTGATGAAAAAGACTATTGTCGTTTTCGTTTTTGCGGTGTAGCACTGGTGTAGTGTAAGCAGGAATAAGCGCGAGTCTTTGACAGCTCAACATCATTTGTTTGTAAACAAAGGTTACACCTTATTTTGCAAGCAATTTGCACGTGTTGCCGAAAGAGTAAATCTTTTGTCACTACAGACAAAACCATCAAGGAGAACTACCAGGAAGAGTGCATGCAGAAGCGATTGCTACGCTTCATCAAAAGCCACAAAGAAAACCCTTTGTTCTGGCCCGATTTGGCAACATGACATTATGCTAAGATTGTGATGGAGTTACGAAGCACATCAAGTGAATATTGTACCAACAATTGCAAACCCACCAAATTTTCCAGAGTATCGTTCAATCGAGAGATATTGGGCTCTGATGAAGCGAAAGATTTCTGGAAAGAAACAAAGAATCAAAGATATCAAACACTTCCAACAAATTTGTACAAAGGCGGCCACCACGATATCTGAGGAGTCCGTATAAACCCTAATGGATAGCGTTAAGCGCAAAGTTCAAAAATTTTATGCAAATACCGAATAACCACGTGATGTGTTTAGTTTCGATATTCCGCGCATTTCAGAAGACATGGTGATAGCCACAACACGCAAACTGAAACTTTCGTTCGCCACCGGACCTGACGGGATTCCGTCATCTGTTATAAAACGTTGTGTAGCCAATCGCTGCGTTTCAC